TTTTCTCCCTCCCTCTCTCTCTCTCTCTAATAATTATTTTAATTTATATATTGGATGTGGGAAACAAGGTGGTAACTAAGGGTTCTTAAACTTGTTTTTGATAGCTTTTGTTTCGCTTCTAGTTATGAAAAATACGAAATCTGAAATTGACCATTGCTTTATCATTTTGATTTGCTTACAAAACAATAAATGAAAACAAGCTAAATGCATTACCATCATTGCACTCAAGGTGTAGAAAGGATGTTGTCTGTGTGCTTTCCTTTCCATGATTTTTTTCTTTAATTGGTAGTTTGATACACTTCTACTACTCAAGTTTGATTTATTCTTTGGTTTTCCGCAAAATTCCCTAATCCCTTTTATTATTGAACCTATGAGTATAATGACTAATGTATATAATCTTCAATGATGAGTCTCATCAAAACCAAAGTAGTCTTCATTAAGCTTAGATCATATTCTTTATTAAGTGCTTCTACCCTTTCGGGTGTAGCCGTGTAGGTAAACCTTGCCTTGTGACCTTAGTCGGCAAATGATAAGTGCTTCTTTCTTATTGTGAAGTAAACTTGGTTAGTATTTTCAACAGACCATGCAAGGTTGGTCGGTCTAGTTGGATGATTTTGCTTTGTATTTTCATTTCCTTTTAGTGTAACCTTACTGATCACATCATTTTATTGAGTGCTTAGTATTTTGAATGGGATTGTGCTGCAGGTATGAGCAGAGCTTATCTGTCCTTAAACATGCAAAGCACTTTAAGGAAGGAATGGTAACCAAAACTTCTATCATGTTGGGACTGGGTGAAACTGATGAAGAGATAAAGGAAACCATGGCTGATTTGCGGGCAATAGATGTTGACATTATGACGTTTGGACAGTATTTACAGGTAAGCTTATTCGCTTTTTAACTAGGATGATCTTTAGGCTGTGGTAGCATGTTGGATTGTGGTGATAATCTAGGAAGCTATGTAGCAAAACAACAATTAGCTTTGTTAGCATCAAACGTTTATCATTATGCCAGAAGCTATAACTTTATAGCTTCTGGCGTAGTGGTAAGCGCATGATTCTAACAAGTGGTATCAGAACCAGGTCACAGGTTCGAGTTCCAGCAAGAGCAGTTAAGGTTGGCTAGTGCCTGGGGGGAGTGAGGGTGAATTGTTGGGCGGAGGCCGGTAAAAGACCAAGTCCAACACCCGGTGGCTAGGGGAATTGTTGGGCGGAGGCTTAAAGGGCCAAGTCCAGCACCAGTGTCCTGTGGCTAGGGGATTGTTGGGCGGAGGCGTAAAAGGGCCAAGTCCAGCACCGGTGTCCGGTGGCTAGGGGGATTGTTGGGCGGAGGCTTAAAGGGCCAAGTCCAGCACCGGTGTCCGGTGGCTAGGGAATTGTTGGGCGGAGGCTTAAAGGGCAAAGTCCAGCACCGGTGTCCGGTAGCTGGGGATTGTTGGGCGGAGGCATAAAGGGCCAAGTCCAACATTCTGCCTCTCGAAAATGTGTGGTGCCATGGTGATCTAAGGAAATAAAGTTGCGCGTTTCCTACTAGTTATAATTTTTGGCATAATGGTTAGTGCTTGGTTCTAACAAGCTTTCATGCTAAACCGCTATCTTCGTGCACACGAATACTTGTACCTATCAACATTAATCCTTACTAATATCATCTCTGCAGCCAACTCCATTACACCTCACTGTCAAAGAGTTCGTTACTCCTGAGAAGTTTGCATTTTGGAAAGAGTATGGGGAGTCTATCGGGTTCCAATATGTTGCCAGTGGGCCTCTGGTAAGAACTAAGAACTCATACCTTATCGCTTTTATTAGAACGATAATCGCCATAGGACTCATAGCTGGAGAAAGTCGATCTGTTATATTTTTTTGATAGAATGGCTCTAAATTTTATTCATGTGAACTTTTGAAGCTTTCTAGTTTACTAGTTATCTCCCGGCCTGTAAAGTTTGCAATTGACTTTAATACTCGACTTGCTCAGGTTCGATCGTCCTATCGGGCTGGAGAACTATATGTTCAAAATCTGGTTAGAAAACGAACCGAACAAATATCTGCACTGGTAAGATAGTTGGAAGATAGTTCTCATACTTAAAGGTTACAAGTTCAATTATTGCCAACATCACGCAAGATTGAGCTTTACCTAATACAAACTTTTAGACAGTGATTGTGAGTTTTCCTTGTTATCCAGACACTTTTAGCAACATACATAAAGTTGTAACTTGAAATTTGATTTTATTCTTTTGTAGCAAATTATATCATGGACTAGGGTTCACTTTGCATGGTGAATCCTAGTCCAAAATGACCTTTTATATTAACTGTTAAGTAATGTATTATATTTAATAATATCATCTGGTATTATGTTGATAACATTTGTTTTAATTTATATGTTCATAAACCTAAATTTTAAGAGCAAATACCAATTTTAGTCCCACGAGTATTAGCAAAATGTCAGTTTTGGTCCACATGTTTAATTTCTACCAATTTTCATCCACGATTATTGTTTTATTACCAATTTTCATCAACGACTATTATTTTAGTGTCAAAATTCGTCATGCCGGTCACACATTCGTTTAAGACATGCCGAATTATGAAATTATTGAGGGTATTTTCATCATTTTCAAATTAAAATCTCAATTTGAGCATGAATAAAACGATTTAAGTCTTCAGATTTATCCCAATTCACAATTCTCCTCCTTAAATTAAGGTAGGATGAGGAGAATAACTACTATTTGGGATCGATATCAAGGCTTAAATCGCTTTATTCATGCTCAAATTGGAATCTTAAGTTGAAAATGACGAAAATGGCCTTAAAAATTTTAGATTTCGACATGTCTTAAATGGAGGGGTGATCGGCGTGATGAATTTTGGTACTAAAATAATAGTTGTGGATGAAAATTGGTATTAAAACAATAGTCGTGGATGAAAATTGATAGAAATTAAACATGTGGACCAAAATTGTCATTTTGTTAATACTCATAGCACCAAAATTGGTATTTGCTCTAAATTTTAATGTTCATAAACATTGAACTAAATAACTAAATGTACTTTATATGCATTTACATTAATTCTATATTATGTTCATAATATAATATTCCTTCTAAAGATTCATAAAAACAAATTAAAGATTAATGTACATAAACATTATATTATAGACACGTCATGTTCAATATTAACATTAACTATGTATTATGTTCATAATATTTGTTTTGTATGTCCATAAATTTAAACCTTAATATTCATATAGACACTAGATTAAATGTATATTATACGCATTTTAATTCACACTATATAAGGTTAATAATGTTCCTCATCTTATATATTCATAAAAACAATCCTTAACCAAAGGCCATTTCAAGGGTTCTGTCCTTAATTTTGGGTATGGAGCAACCTTAAATCTCCAGGTCAGCTGTCCCACAATAAAAGAAGTGTCTACAATTCAACAACCTTGGTGATTATAATCTGTTAAGTCAGTACCCATATTTGATATTCCTGTCCTCATTCATCTCAGAATCTCATGAATTCTTGAAAGATCAATGACAAATAATAGTAATTCACCAACTAGATGTTAATAATACATTTCTTCATGGAGACCATGAACGAACCAAGCACATTGAGATATAACCCAAAACATAACTTATGCCATTACCTAAGCCATATATATATATATATATATATATATATATATATATATATATATATATATCCACATCCATATATTCTTTCCAAAGTGAACTGGAAGCCATTAACAGCCATTGCCGCCGCACCTACTCCTCGTGCCACCACCGCTACCGCTCCACCGCCACTAACGCGTCACCCACAAGAGCTATGTAAAAAATAATTATTTTAATATATTTGGAATTAGTTGTTAATATATTTCTAGTTTTAGGAATTATTATGCATATATAATTTGAATTTTATGAGTTATTTTGTATTTTATAAATTATTGTGTATATATTTCGAATTTTAGGAATTATTGTATATGTATTTCAAATTTTTTGAATTATTGTATATATATTCCCAAGTTTAGGTATTGTTGTGTATATATTTTGTATTTTAGGAAATACTGTATATATATTTCAAAATTTTTCAATTATTGTGTATATATGTTGAATTTTATAAGTAAAAGAATTTAGAAATTAAAACAAAATTTTTTCTCTCTCTAGGAAAATCTAGGGTTTCCTACCGCTTCGGTTTCTCTCTACGGCAAACTCGCCGGTTTCTAGCATATGATTATCCGAAAACAATCGCACGGCGACGCACGGTAACTTGATGGCGTCGGCACAGGCAGATGATGAGGTTGTAGATATAACAGAGCGATGGGGCGATATGGCCTTGGAGGAGGATGCGTTCACCTTTGAGCCGGCGCCGGATGATGCAGTAACGGAGTCGACCGAGGGGGTCCAGACGTGGCGGCTGCTTGGACGGTTTCTAACGAGGAAGCTGGTGAAGGTGGAGTTCATGAGCCAGGTCTTAGCGTCGGTTTTGTAGCCGGTTAAATGTATGCAGGTCACGGAGATACAACCCCGGCTGTTCATGTTTGTTTTCCACCATAAAACGGACATCGAGCGTGTGATGGAGGAGGGGCCGTGGGCGTATGAGAATGCTACTCTAGTGTGCCGACCGATTGAGGATGGGGTTCGGCCGGAGAATGTATGCTTGGATACGATTGATATGTGGATACAAGTGCATGCTTTGCCGATGGGGTATACGTCGGATAAAATTTTGGAACAGATTGGGAACACTCTGGGATCGTTCATCAAGGTGGATAATAGGTTTGTGGGTGCCCTGTGGAAGTGATTTTATCGTATAAGAGTAACAATATCGGTGGACAAACCCCTGCGCCGGAGGATGAGGTTTATGAAACGGGACAAAACGACGTGTTGGGTGCTTTTCAAATATGAGCGCCTACACAATTTTTGTTTCTTCTGTGGCAAGTTAGGGCATCTCTATAAATTTTGCTTGCATGCACGTGAATCAACCTTGGCAGTGGAGGACTACCCGTATTCGGGGGATATGCGGGCAGGGTTTCGGCGTGGGCCTAGGGTGGTAGGGGAGAGTTGGTTGTTGCTGCCGGATGGACAGCCGAGGGAGGTGACGGGGAGAAGGGTTTCCGACGGGTTAATGGTGAGGGACGCGGCAGTAGAGGGGGAGAATAGGGAGGAGGCCGAGGGCCTGGTGGTGGGGGTGGGGAAGAGGCGTAGGGAGGAGCTCGTGGATGGTGGGAGATCGGAGGGGCAGGGAGTGGATGTTACAATGTCCGAGGTTCCAAAAAACTTGTTTACGGCGGGTTCTGGTTCCCAGACCCGCCCATCATTATGAGTATCATAAGTTGGAACTGTCGTGGCTTGGGCAATCCACGAACAGTTCGGGAGGTTGTGGACCTTATGTCCCGTAAGAAGCCGGAATTTGTATTTTTGATGGAAACAATAATGGTGGGACGTGTGCATGCGGAGCGTCTCCGAGTCCGTATTGGATTTGAGGGTTTGTTTTATGTTGATAGTACGAGGCGTAGTGGTGGGATAGCTTTGTTTTGGAAAAAGAATAATACGGCACGATTGCTAAGTTATTCAAAAAATTATGTAGACGTGGAGGTGACTCACACGAGTGGACTAGTGTGGCGAATGACTGGTTACTATGGTTTTTCAGAACGACATAGGAGAAGGGAGTCATGGGATATGTTGCGGTCCTTGAGTGGTAAATCGCCTCTCCCCTGGGTAGTGGTGGGGGATTTTAATGACCTACTATATCAGCATGAGAAGAGGGGGGGGGGGGGGGGGGGGAGGGGGTAATCCGCATCCGAGTAGTCTCCTACGCGGTTTCGGGGAGACCTTGGACATGTGTGGGTTGTTACAATTGCCAATGAGGGGCCATCAATACACCTGGGAAAAGAGTAAGGGGACGGATGGGTGGTTGGAGGAGCGTCTTGACAAGGTTCTGGCCACGACTTGTTGGTGTGATATGAATAGTGGCGCTGTGGTTGAAAATATAATAATGCGAAAGTCGGATCATTCGGCTCTATTCCTCAGTATTGATGCATGCATACAGAGGGGTAGAGGTTAGAGAACCTTCAAATTTGAGATGGCCTGGCTCCATGGATGGATGTAGGGAAGTGGTTGAGACTGTGTTAGGAATAAATTGTAATAGATTTTGATATGCCATATTGTAAATCGTAGAACCCCAATTTTATTTTGGTTAGACTAGTCGAGTCATAGACCAAGAAAGGGAAAAATGAATTCATTAGTTGAGGAAATGGATGAAGAAGAGATAAAGCCTAAAATCAAGAATTTGCCTAGTGAAAATGGCAAACAAAAGAGGAAGATGTATGCGTATGAAGAAGTGTACACAAATTATGAATACTATCATCCAAGAAGAAATCAAGAAGAAATCCCTCAAGAAATTCCGAAGAAGAAAGAACGTGACTTGAAGTTTGCATGAAGCTATCTTGAAGATCAAGCATCTATAGAAAGAAAGAAGTACACCAAGCGAAACAAGATGATAACTAAAAGGTTGTACGGACGAGTTGGTAGAAGCTTGAAATATTATATGCAAGGTCACAGATTCAAACCTCGGCGATGGTTTGAGATTTTTCATCCACGCATCTCACCCTTGGGGCAGAAGTTTCAATTTGATGGGATGAGATTGAATCATCATCTATCTCAAAGTTGGAGGAAAGTAACACGGAGTTGTGAAAAGCAGCAGTATCGGAAGATATTGGGCGTGATTAGTGCGGGCTTTGTGATCAAAGCACTAGATCACGGGACACGTTTCTACCGAAGTGTAGAAGACGGGAGGAAAGTAACGCGGCGACGTGAAACCCGAAGCAGCAGTGTTGGTGGCACTGGGCGTGATTAGTGTGGGCTTGGTGATCAAAGCACTAGATCACGGAATTTAGTGTGGGCTTGGTGATCAAAGCACTAGATCACGGAATTCATTTTATCTTGGAACCAAGAAGTGGTGGATATAGTGAATTGCTCTTGGAAGATTAGAGCAAGTGGAGTAGGAGGATTACACCACCTCGCGAACCACTATAAATTGCCTTGTGTTCTTTACTGCTTTCTTTACTTACTGCTCTTGCTTGCTTCTCACGAGAATAATCTTGACACAATCTACACACACCGTATAGTTTATTATTTTCCGCTGTGCACCATACTCTAACAATCTAGTTAAGAGTTTTGGTTTATCTCTGGATTAGCAATTGTTGTACTGTGCTAAAAAGTTTGAAAGTCTATTCACCCCCCCCCCCCCCCCCCCTCTAGACTTTCACCTTACCTCTTTTGGGACCAACAGACTGCTTGGTAGATTGGAAGGGCACAGGGGTTGCTGAATTGTCAGCAGCAATGTGGAAGCTCTTTGATGAGATGGGGAGGTGACCACTTCCATAAGTTTGGGGAAAAAATAAAACGGCTTCGGAAGAGACAGGAGGAGATCAGAAGTCGTAGGGATTCTGCTACTTTAGCTGAATTCCAACAGGTGGAGAGCCAGTTGAGCCAACTAGAGGCCCAGGAGGATGTGTTCTGGAGGCAGCGTGCCAAGCAACATTGGCTCCGTGGTGCTGATGCCAACACTCGTTTTTATCACAGTTATGCCACTACCCGAAAGAAAAAGAATTGTGTTTCTAGGATTGTGAATGATGCAAGGGTATGGGTGGAGGGTGAGGCTATGAATTGGGTAGTTTAAATTATTTTAAAGCTATTTTCGCTTCTGGTGTTTCTGAATGTGTGGACCCCTTATTTGATGATTTTGCCCCTCGAGTATCCCTTGAACAAAACAATGAATTATTGCGCCCTTTTGTGCCTGAGGAAGTCAAAACTGCTCTGTTCTCTATGTTTCCTGACAAAGCACCGGGGCCGAATGGAATGAATCCGGGGTTCTATCAGCACTTTTGGGATGTAGTTGGAGGTGATGTGTCTCAGTTTGTAGTGAATTGTTTGAATAATGCCACTTTTCCAGATAAGTTAAACGATACAAATGTTGTGCTAATCCCGAAGAAAGCTGTGCCTGAAACGGTCACTGATTTGAGACCAATAGCTCTAGGGAATGTTTTTTTATCGTGTCATGGCTAAAATGATCACTAACAGGATGAAACCACTCATGGGGGACTTGATCTCAGAGTCTCAGAGTGCTTTTATCCCAGGTAGGCTGATCATAGATAATATCCTAGTAGTTGCAGAGGTTGGTCATTTTTTGAATAGGAAGCAATGTGGGGCCACAGGTTGGGGGGCTTTGAAGTTGGATATGGCGAAGGCCTATGACAGAATGGAGTGGCAGTTTTTACGGAAAATGTTAGTAGTTATGGGGTTTGATGAATGATGGGTAAATTTGATTATGCTCTGTGTGACCACTGTTGAGTACAATATACTTGTGAATGGGGTGACGGGTGGCCGAGTAGTACCTAATCGGGGACTCAGACAGGGAGATCCTCTATCCCCATATTTATTCATTATATGTGCAGAGGGTCTATCTTTATTACTACAGAAGGCGCAAATGATGGGCTATATACACGGATGCAGAGTTGCTAGGGGGGCACCCTCAATCTCGCATCTATTTTTTGCGGATGACAGTCTGTTATTTTTCAGGGCAAATGTGCAGGAGGCTACGGTGATTAAAAAGTGCCTGAATCGTTATGAGAACTTGTCTGGTCAGAAGGTAAATTTTCATAAGTCTAATATCTGTTTTAGCAGAAACACGCAGGAGGCCGAAAGGTTGGCGGTGGCGGACTGCCTACAGGTTGACCAAGCCCCAAATTTTGGAAAATACCTGGGGCTTCCTTCGTTTGTGGGAAGAAATAAAAAGGCAGCTTTTGCTTATGTAGAAGAAAAGATCAGGCAAAGGATAGGGTCATGGAATAAAAAACTGCTATCACAGGCTGGTAAAGAAGTCTTGTTAAAAAGTGTGGCACAGGCAATGCCTACTTTCACAATGGGCATATTTCTCTTGCCCGATTCAGTCACTTTGTCCATTGAAAGAACTATGAATAGATATTGGTGGGGCAGTGGAACGGACAGGAAAATCCACTGGAAAGCTTGGGATAAGCTGTGTGTTCCCAAGAATTATGGTGGTCTGGGTTTTAAGGATCTACGGAAATTTAATCTGGCAATGTTAAGAAAACAGGGCTGGCGGTTCCTAACTAATCCAAACACTTTGGCAGCAAAAGTTTATAAGGCACGGTATTATCCGAATACTTCTTTTGTGGATGCAACCATTGGAAATTGCCCTAGTTATTGCTGGAGAAGTATTATGACAGCACATGATATTATTGTGTCTGGTGTAAGGCGAAGGGTGGGTAATGGAAAATCAACTTTGATATGGGGACATCCCTGGTGACCTGATGACCCAAGCCCTTTGGTTCAGACAGAAATGCCTATACAGCTAAGAGATGCACCCGTTGTTGGACTGATTGATCAACAAACAAATACATGGGATCCACATATCCTATCAGATATATTTATCCCAGAAGATGTGAGCAGAATATTGAAGATCCCTGTCAGCCCAGATTATGAGGACTCATGGTATTGGCTGGGTGACCCTAGGGGTGTGTATTCAGTAAAGAATGCCTACAGGAAACTGGTAGGTGATTATGCATATGCCCCAGGTGCTTTTGATAAATGGGCAACTATATGGAAGTTAAGGGTTCCACCCAAGTGGAAAACTGGTTTGTGGAGGGCAATTTGTGATATCCTCCCTACTACGAATAATTTGATTTTAAAGAGGGTAGAAGTAGAACCAACATGCAATATGTGTGGATTGGCTCATGAGAATATTATGCATGCATTAATTCTTTGCAATTATTCTAGACTTGTATGGGATGTTACATGCTTACCCATTATGAATGTTGTAACGGATTCTTTTCCCTCATGGATTATGGGTGTGTTGACAGTTTTAACGGAAGAGCAGTTTTGTTTGGTTTTGGCCGTGCTATATCATCTTTGGAAGACCCGGAATACGGTGGTATGGGAACATTCGCTCCTGCACCCAACAACCGTGCGACGGCATGCCGTGGCAGCTTTGCATGCCTACGGTCAAAGCCATCCGACAGCCCCCGGCCGGAATCTTACGGCGACACCACCCACACCGTCACATGCACGCCCACGTTGCTTCATCGACGCCAGTTTCAAGCCAATGACTGGCGAAGCCACATACAGAGCAGTATTATTAGCAGCGGACGGAACATTCATTGCAGCAACAAATGGCAGTTTGCCAGTTTGTTTTTCACCACTTATGGCGGAGGCCGCAGCTTGTAAGGAAGCTTTGTCTTGGTTAAGGGAGAGGAATGTTATGATGGTTGATCTTCTCACAGATTGTTCGGAGTTGCGCAGCATTTTACACCACACCTCGTCGGCTATATTATCCTATGCTGGAGTCATGATAGACCGTTGTAGGCTATCTATGGCTTTATTTACTTATTGTTCTATCAGTTTTATTTCTAGATAGCTTAATTTACATGTGCATACTTTAGCTTCCTTAGCTTTTACTCAGGATAACTCTATGTATTGGGATGCTATCCCTCCTGACTCTATTGCTTCGATGTTTAATTAATACAATCGGTCCGGTTGTTTTAAAAAAAAATGTTGAATTTTATAAATTATTGTGTATATATTTCAAATTTTTAAGAATTATAGTATATATATTTCCAATTTTATGAATTATTATGTATATATTTTGATTTTATAAATTGTTTTCAATATATTTCACATTTTAGGAATTGTTGTGTATATATGTTGAATGTTAGGAATTATTGTACGTACGTTCTAATTTTTATTTAGGTGGAAAATCTCGCTTTCTAATTTTATTCACTCAAATGATCTAGCTTGTTGGACAATATCCATTTTGTATATTAATTTAAAAATAAAACTTGTAGGTAGATCATTTTGATTGAACCGGGTATTGTTTATATATAGTGTAAAAGAGATAATAATAATGGAACATATGTAAATTTATAAATAATTAATAGTTATTATTAATATAGTGATGTCAAGTATTTACGTAGATTTTATATGTTTTATATTAATAGGTGTGTGAAGGCAACTAGCATATTGAGTGGAAAGAAATCAAGTCGTCCATCGAAATAGATTGCATATTCAGTGAGTAGTTCATACACTTCGTAAAACTACATATATCTTATTGTTTTTTTAGTAAAAAAAATTCTTAATTGTATTTAATTTTAATTCAAATGTAGTGTGCAAACAAACTGGATATACCGAATGCGGATATTATGTGATGAAATTCATGTTCGAAATTATTTCCAAAAATTTGTTTAAAGGAGTGGATAATGCAAGTAATTTAATAAAATATCTTTCTCCTTCAAATTTTTGAAAATACTAGCTTATTGATTATTTATCTCTTTTCAACTTTATAGAGCTTGGAGAGATTTGGAAGATTGCCCTACAATCAACAAGAGATTGATGAAGTTATAGACATATGGTCCAATTTTTTATTTTTTTTAATTGATGAATGGGTTAATAAAATAATTTTTTTTAGTATATTAAATAATTGATATTGATAATTTGAGTTTCAAATTATTATTATTAATTAGTATCAATGGTAGAATTTATTAGTTTGATTAATTGAGAGATTTATTTACTTGATCAATTTTGAGATTATGAATGTAAAATTGTACAAGTTTGAATGTTGATGTTGTAGTATTTTTATACGAAGCTGCACTCTGCCTTTGCGAAAACAGAAATGTAGCAGCGTGTATGGCACTGTTTAATATGGCTGGATTTGTAGAATTAGAGAAAGTAAAAATGAAATCTATGTCGTGTTCTTGAACACTGCCTTAAAAGCATTTACGATCAGGGTACCGCATGCTCTCGATAGGCTCTCACAGATATATGAACTCAGGCAGAGGGAGGATTTTTCCATGTTCTGAATGCAGGCCAATGGCTGCCATTTCTTATCAGCCTTGGTGAGGGGCGACATAAGTGGAGCTCAGCACAGCCTTGGACGCACGTTCACACGTTTAAAAGAGGAATGCGGACAAGGTGGTCAAAACTTTGACCCCACCGCGACGCACGTGGGATTTCCCCTTATTCCCTCTCCCTAACACTTCAAACCTTCTAAAAAGACTTGGTATATAAAAGATGGGAAAAAGTGGGTTAGCCAAGCAATGTGGGACAAATTGATGAAGACAAACTCAATGAATGCCTCATTAAATGTTCGAACAATCCCCCACACATTTAAGGTGGCAAGGCTAGACACACTAATACCTGAGTCTGCACAGTAGCTAACTTCCATATCAGTGTATTATACTTGAACTGGCATGTAGTGATATTAAGTAACTTGTTACCGGTGAGTGAATTGTATCTTGAACTCTCCGGTTAATTGAGTTTTGAACTTAATGGCACTCATTAGCCCTGATGATTCCCTGTTTAATATATCTCAACATAGACACTTCAATTTGTCAAGTCTATCTCAATATAGACGTTTCACTCTGTCAAGTCTATCTCAATATAGACCACCCATAGTAGGCTACAGAGTAGGCACTGTTTTCTCCACTCCCTTTTGATGTAAGTCTTTCTGTGACTTTGGTTGACCACTGAGGTGGTTTCCATCACGAATTTCTTACCTCATTGGGTTTTAAACCCATCTCCCTTGAAGTATCAAGGACGGTCTTTCGATTTAGACCTTTTGTGAATGGATCTGCAATGTTCTTTTCAGATCTCACAAACTCCATTGTAATCACCCCATTTAGTATCAATTGCCGTACAGACTCATGTCTGACTCTTATGTGTCTTCTCTTGCCATTATAGACACTATTTTGCGCAACACAGATGGCAGTTTGGGAATCACAATGTATAGGAACAGCAGGTGCTGGGCACCCCCACAATGGAATGTCTGCCAGTAGGTTTCTTAACCACTCGGCCTCTTGGCTTGCCAGATCTAGAGTTATGAACTCAGCTTCCATAGTTGACCTGGCAATGCATGATTGTTTAGTTGACTTCCATGATATCGCAGCTCCACACATAGTGAATACGTATTCACTAGTTGAGCATTTACCATTTACCCAATTCGCATCACAATACCCTTCTAGCACAGCTGGGAACCCTTTATAGTCAAGACCCTAGTTTATTGTGCCTCTTAGATATCGAAGTACTCTTTTCAGTACTATAACACCCCACTTTTTCTAAAACTTAATTACAATTCTAAACCATAATTAACATAACTATAACTAGTGGGAATGTCACCGCCACAACCACCACTCCGTAGTGATTGCACAGGCTAAGGGTAGAACTAGAAATTCAATAAATAACTAACCATCCATCAACTTAAATAAAGCATAAGGGGGAATAAACACACCCCAAAGTTTACATCATCGAAAAACCACAAAACATCATAAGTCTAACATCCGATAGATAAAGTCATAAACAAGACATAAAGAGTTTAGACATCTCAAACTAAAAGACTAGTCTAACTCGATCACTTCTCATTGCTGGGCCCACCTGAAAGGGGTTTTACAAGCAACACATAAACAAATAGGAAAACACCCGTTAGCACAAAGCTAAGTATAACCACACTCAACCCTGTAAAGTACTATAGAATATACTTTGGAAAACATTTGATAACATTCGTATACAACAAACTCATCTCATAGGCAACTATAATCATATCACATACTTTCTATATGCTTGCAACCTATAGTATCAACAGGCATGCTTCAAGACAAAAGACTTAACAACATAGATATTTCAACATGTAAATGTCACAACAAACTTATCAAGCAACTCATGCTTACAAATAATATCACGCTAATAAACCATGCGAAAGTTATTCTCATGCTCTCAAGTTCTCATCATGTAACTGGATATACAAGACTTCAAATGTAACTAAACAATCATGCTCGATATACAATCCTAAGTCAACATTCTCATTATGCAATCTCAGGCAATACTCTACTCACATGCAATCTCGTGCAATACTATAAGTATACTCATATGCAATCTCGTGCAATACTATAAATATACTCATATGCAATCTCGTGCAATACTATAAATATACTCATATGCAATCTCGTGCAATACTATAAGTATACTCATATGCAATCTTGTGCAATACTATAAATATACGCATACACTTGTTGTAAAAATAGAGTACTTTCTGTGGAGGTCTCATTGAGTCATAAATGACTTTCTTTCTTTCTTTCTTTCTTTCTTTAGAGTCGCAATGACTCACTTCTTTCTTTCTTAGAGTCGCAATGACTCATTCTTTCTCTTTTAGAGTCGCAATGACTCATACTTTCTCTTTAAATGGACGAGGTAGGAACTTCATAGTGTGAATGAACCTATATGGGCACGGCGTCTAGCCGACCTAATACTTTGCTCATCCACCGAACCACTCTCTTGGTTCTATGCTCAAACTCTGTGGAATTAGGTATCGAACTATTAGCGTGCACACCCCCTAACCAGGATTCCAAGCCTGGCAGGCAGTTTCCAACCTCGTAACGTGGGAATACACCGCGTTACATATACTGGGACTGCAATGTCCATAAAATCATCCGAGAGGACATAGTCCAAACAGGGTCCTCCAAAACCTCACCGATATAGATAATACATAAATATATCTTTCATGCATCAATCTCATGCATGCAACAATTCAACAACTTCTCAGTGCATCAAATAATGTTAAACCACATGCTTATGGACTTTGAAAGTAATACTTGGGCTCACGTTGACCCCTTATGCATTTTTGAAATATGATATATGCGAGATGCAAAATATTCTACAACATGCTCCATAACCATGTATAAAATCCATAAAATTCTCAAGGATACCATATCATACTCGGTTTGCAACATAGCAAATTCTATACATTTCTATCAACAAAATATGCTTCAAATCTCATTGATCAAATATCACATTTTAGTCATGCTTTCATCATATTCTCAAATGATCACGCTTCTCTACTCAATACAAAAATGACATCAGAACACAGAGCAAAGCATTTCTCAAACACAGTGAACTTCACAATTTATATTGTGTAGCAATTTTTTCAATAAATTCATCATAACATGCTCATTTTTTATCCAAAAACAATGAAGTCAAAGCCAAAACGTGCATCGAGATGGTCCCGAGGTACCAAGCCACAAGGGCCCGTGACACCTGGCCTGAAATGACACGTAGCTGAGCCACAAGGGTCCGACCACTGCACAAAAACCTCTCAGATCAATACTCAGGGACCTGGGGCGGGACTCCTCATGAGCCGTCCCAAGTAAGCCGTCACATGGCCGGGCCTAGGCATCGGCGCTCTCCAGGAGGCCGGGCCACGTTGGAGGCCGGGCCGGCCTCTCCAGGAGGCCGGGCCGGGCCCATGATGAGCTCGGCCTGGCCCCCGCAGCGCGGCCCGGTCGCGAGACCGGGCGCGGTCAACTCCAGATCCAACTACCCCCTGTTTTAGGGGGAGGCGGTTGGGGGCTTAGCTTGTATAAAAGCCCCCCT